AACGTATAAATGTATAAACTTTCCAAGCATGATTTCCCCCCTGTGTTTTCGCCAGTGCGCTCGTGGCTAACTACTCTCCACTTCACACACTCTTGCGGGTGGGCAATTACCTATACAGTATTAAACATTCATATGCATATGTCCGTGTAGAGAATTTTATTGCGATTCCAATGATACCAAAATTAGCGATGTAGGACAACTGTAGGCTTCGCAACCATTAAGAGAGTGGAAACATTTTGTTGCTGTTTGGCGCTCTCGGCGAGTGATCTGCATAGTTTTTTATTTGGTGTTGATACTCCTTATGTTTGGGCGGCATTTTATAGGTATGCTCTTATAGACAATTTCATTGCGAACACAGTGATACCAAATTTAAATACGTGCGCCTTCAATTATTGTCAGGACAGTCAAAAGAGTGTACACTTTTTCGGTCTTACCGCGTAGGCGCGCGAAGTGCCGAAAGCATCTGGGGTATTGTTTTTTTTTTGAGCGCCGAGAGCGCGAAAGTGTTAAACACCTGTTGGACTGCTTATCAGAGCCTGTGCTCCTTTTGGGTGATTTTAATTAACTGTCGGCATACCCTCTGGGGGTGATGTTGTGACAAACACCCGGGGCTGCCCTCTTGAACCTCTTGTCCTCTCTTCTTCTTCTGTCTCTTCTGAATTCTGGTGAGCCAACTTATGTTGACTTCCACACTCGCACCCTTTCCTGTCATGAACTTTCTCTCTGCTCATCTTCTCTTTATTTGGACTTCACTTGGCAGGTTCTTGATGACCTACATAACAGTGACCATTTCCCCATCCTTGTTACCTTCTTCTCTTTTTGCCCTCCCACTCCTTCCCTAGGTGGCAGTTTGACAGGGCTGACTGGGTCCTCTTCACTTTGCGTGCTATTCTTTCCGACCTCTTTGATCTGCCTCTTCCCTGAGCCTTCCTCTTTCATGAGACTGTTTTTTATGCTGCCTTCTGCTCTGTTCCTCGCTCTACCTCCAGGGACACATAGAAGTGTGTTCTCTGGTGAAACTCAGACTGTGCTCAGGCTGTCCACTGTAAGCATGCAGCCTGGAAGAAACACTGTCGCTATAGGACCCGTTTCTTTTGTTTTGTTTCGGAGGGCAAGTACAGTGTCCTGTAGGGCCATCCGTACAGCTAAACGTGAGGGGTTAGAGATCTTTCGTTTCCATCATTACGTCTGACGCTCCTCTGCCCCTGATCTGGAAAAAAATTCACAAGATAGCAGGTAAGTCAGTTCCAGATGTCTCACCAGTCCTTCATATCCATGGTTCTATTGTGGCGGATGCGGTGTCGGTCGTGACTGAACTGGGTTCTCACTTTTCAACTGTTAGCTCCGGCTCTCGTCTTCCTCGTCCTTTCCTTACTTGTAAGTCTCTTCTTGAGAATCTTCTCTCTTAGATTTTTTGCACTTCTCTTCAGCTTCCCAGTAACAATCCTTTCTCTCTCAGAACTCAAGTCTGCCCTGGCCCTCTGCGGTTCTACGGTGGCGGGCTCTGATGATATTCATTATGAAATGCTTCGCCATCTCCATGCACGTTTCAGTTTTTACTGAGTGTTTATAACCATGTCTGGGAGTCGTCGTCAGACCCTGAGGACTGACTTGAGGTGATTGTTCATCCTATTCAGAAACCTGGTTCTCTAGGGTCATAACCTAAAGACTTCCATCCCATTGCTCTAATGAGTTGCGGCTGCAAACTCTATGAGCGTATGGTCAATGTCAGTCTGATGTGGTTCTTGGAACGCTATCACCACCTCTCTTCTCAATTTGGCTTTCGCAAGTGTCACGGCACGACTGATGTCCTTGTGAACGTAGAGGTCAATATTCGTACTGCCTTTGCTGCGAAGACCTCCGTTGTTGCTTTCCTGTTTGACCTGGAAAAGGCGTATGACATCACCTGAAGATACTATATTCTGTCCCAACTCTATTCTTTTGGAATTGGCACAGAATCTTTTGGAGTTCGTGGTAATCTTTCTTTCTTACTCCAATGCTTCCTCTCTTGTTGTTGCTTTCGAGTGAGGCCTGGTACCACTCTCTGCCTCTTTTCAGCAATACGAAGATGTACCCCAAGGTACCCCAAGGTTCTAAGCACTACTCTTTTCCTGATTGCCCTCAGTGGTCTTCTTTCCTCCCTTCCTTCTGACATTTTCCTCGCTCTTTATGTTGACGATCTTTCCCTCTGCAATCACGGTGATGACTCGCCTTGCCTCCAACGGCAGCTTCAACCTGTGATTGATGCCGTGTCGTTCTGGGCCACCAATCATAGCTTTAAGTTCTCGGCTTTAACTGGGCTCGGACTTAGCTCTGGTGCCTTTCGTTCGACCCCTATCCAGGGCTTGTACGTTGAGACTGGCGTCCTGTCTCTACGTGATCGCCAGGATCGCTACTGTCTTCTCTACTTTGTACTGTCCTTACAATACCCTCACTCTTGCTTGTGTCATACTTTGACTGTTATCCCTCGTGTGGGCCTTTCATTGCTTTCCCCTTTCTGTATGGTTGTCTCTCTTGCAAGGTTCTCTTTTGGTTCGTATTGCCAATGTTTCTTCTTGTGTCATTCCGTCTTTGCCCCCGTGGAGGATCCCTCTTCCTAAGTTTTTGTAGAACCTTGGCCTGCATGACTTAAGGCTTTTCCCCCTCCCACAGTTCTGAAACACCTTTTCCTTGCTCACTTTTCTTCATACTTCCGCTCCATCTCCATCTACACAGTTGGCTTTTCCTGACTTCACCTATGTGTGTCGCCTACCTCCAGAGACTAGCGTCTTCACGTTTAAACTTTATGCAATTTTGTTTGCTCTTCGTCATCTGCTTTCTTGCCGTAATTCTTCCTTTGTTGTACAGTGGGGCCCCCACTTACGATGGTAATCCGTTCCCAGAGAAGTATAGTAAATCAAAATATCGTAAGTTGAAACAAATTTTCTCATAAGAAATAATGGTAATTGAATTAATCAGTTCCACACTCCCCAAAAAATTAACTTCAATGTAAATTTTATACCTAATTCACCCAAATCTTTAGTACTAAAGTACAGTGGAACCTCGGGTTACGAGCGTCCCTGTTTACGAGTTTTTTGAGTTACGAGCCCGATTTGTTTGGAAAATTTGCATCGGGATACGAGCATTGCATCGGGTTACGAGTTTGTTGATATGCGTATGGGCCAACCTAGCGCGTGGTGGCACGTCGATCGTGCCTCAGTTTACCAATGCCTCGCGCCCCAGTGACTATCCCGCCTGAATTCTTCACAAGGATTTACAGTATTTTGTCGGATTTTTGGCCATTTAAGCATAAAAGTTATTATATATCTCGCCATGGGTCTCAAGAAAGCCAGTGGTAAGGTTCAAGGCAAGAAATCACATGATTTCTTGCCTTGAAATTTAAATTTCCTTCAAATTTAAAAATTGTCCTGCTTTCGGCTTGGCTGCGGGAGGGGCGTGATGCGGTTTTGGACATTATATGCATATACTCCTGTAGGAAATTTAATTGCGAACACATTGATACCAAAATGAAAGACCTAGGATGAGAATTGACGTGACAGAATTGAAAAGTGAAAACCAACATTCAAAAACCGCGCACTCCTATGGAATGCCTGGCACTCCCTCGCCCGGTGAGAGTGTTAAATGAGCATGCGGATGCTGCCGCTAAGGAAGCTATCGGCACTTGTCCCATCTCCGGTAAAGGTATTCCTTATTTCGACTTTTACCCAGTTATTCATTCCTCCATCCTTGCCTATTGGCAAGGTTGCTGGTCTTCTGTTATTGGTAACAAACTGCGTGTTCTTAAGAGTAGTGTGTCCCCATGGACTTGTTCCTAGGAAACGACTCTGGCGAGGTTGCGAATTGATAATACCCTCTTAACTCGCAGGCACTTAATGGAGCACCGCCCTGCTCCTTATTGTCCGAATTGCATTGTCCCTCTTAAGGCCATGCATACGTATCCTTGAGAATGTCCTGACTCCCAGGATGTGTGTGCATCTTGTTTCCCAACTGTCCCTCATGGTCACCTGTCCTTTGATAGTATCCTTGGTGAATCAGATAACTTTGATGTTGTTCTCCTTATGCACTTTTATTCTCGTATTGGCGTCTTTAGTGATATTTAGCGCCTTTTGAATATCTCGCACTTTTCCCATGAATATCCAACACTTTTGTGCTATATAGCACCTATGGTGCTACATAGCCTCCCCAGCTTGGTGCCTTCTTTTCATAATTACTTGCTTACTTGGAAGGTAGTTCCTGCATGTAACAATACTGTAGTTCTAAGTACTGTATGTTATATATGGTTCCTTGATAAGATATTAGCACTTAAATGCTGTTATTCCATGTAATATCCTCATTTTGGAATAATACATTTTAATATATCAGTACAATACCATTTAAAAACTGTTGGCTTGTCTATTTGGTCATTTATTAGAGTTTATGGAAGTCAAAGAAAAGGTTGGCTCAAAAGACAAGGTCTGCCTTGATACCAGCTTCCTATATCAAAATAATGTTCAGAACATCCCACACAGGCAAGTTAGTCAATGTGGGATACTGTACTAGTTGACATTATGTACCTTACATAAAGTGTCCTATTTATTTTCATTACAGTATTAAGATTTTAGCAATTCATTAGTTTTATTTTTAAACATTACAAATTTTATTTATGTTGCATTAGGAATTAGGAAATATCTATTATATTGTATTTTCATTATTTAAGGGTGTTTGTAACACATAAGTATTTGTGTACTTAACAAAAATACAACATTAGGAAAGAAAGCGAAGATAGTAATTGATGATAATATTAGTAATGTATACAGGTACTGTACAGTATTGTACTAGTTGACCTCGGTCAGCCATACCAATTATGAAAGGACATCCTTTTTTTATATCTTGCATGTAGGACTGAAATCAACTGGTCTTAGATGGTCTATATATATTTAATTGATTTTGTTTTTGTTACATTATTATAACTTTGTAGATGTTGAGGAGTGAAATAGTATTCATTACCCATTACCTTGCAGATGTTGATGGATGGAGCCTGCCCCTGCGATGTGTTCAGCTACACAATGCTCTGCTGGAGGACTAGGTGATAGACAATGGCTTCATGACGTAGAGCAAAACTAGAAGTGGAACAGTGACTCCAAAAACTTGGCATTAATCTCAGGGGTCAATAGCTAGCCACACCACAAGTTTTGCTCTGCTTCTGTGTCTGGTTCACAACTATCCAGGTAAATAATGAGCAATAGAAGTTACAATAGAAGTTAAATGTAGATGAATCTAATCTAGTGAATCTAAATCGAATATAGAAGAACATTGTATTGTGTCTTGTTTAGAATAGAATGCAAGGGTTAGGTATATGTGTGAAAGATCATTAAAAGTATTATTGACACTATTATTTCATTTCTTTCCATGGGTTGGGGGAAGCACCTAGCCAACAAATGTAGAAAGTTGTTGAAAAAAATGGCAAAGCTATTCACTGGCACTCCATTTTCCATAAAATCTCAAATTCCATAGGGAGCCAGTCAGCCGAGCGGACAGCACACTGGACTTGTGGTCCGGGGTTCGATCCCGGGCGCCAGCAAGAAACAATGGGCAGTTTCTTTCACCCTATGCCCCTGTTACCTAGCAGTAAAATAGGTACCTGGATGTTAGTCAGCTGTCACGGGCTGCTTCCTGGGGGTGGAGGCCTGGTCGAGGACCGGGCCGCGGGGACACTAAAAAGCCCCGAAATCATCTCAAGATAACATAAGCAAAATCTTCAAATGCTTATCACCAACAATGTGTTTAAATTTTTAAAACTAAAAATTTTTCTCTCCAAATTGTCCTCTCCAATCTGTCCATTTTGACTAGTTATTCATTGTTCACATGCTTACCATGACTTTTACCTTATCTTGAGATGATTTCGGGGCTTTTTAGTGTCCCCGTGGCCCGGTCCTCGACCAGGCCTCCACCCCCAGGAAGCAGCCCGTGATAGCTGACTAACATCCAGGTACCTATTTTACTGCTAGGTAACAGGGGCATAGGGTGAAAGAAACTCTGCCCAATGTTTCATGCCGGCCCCTGGGATCGAACCCAGGACCACAGGATCACCATGGTGGGGAAGCTAGTGGAGAATGGAATACAGTACTGTAATTGACAATGATACTACAGAAGATAAGGCAGTGTGTTAAACTGAACATCTTGGAAGGTAGTTCCTGCATATAACAGAATAGTTTGAGGTAAATATTTATTTTTGGTTCCTTCATAACATACTTTTACTTAACATAATTTTTTTGTATCATATATTCTTTAGTGCATAATTACTATATGCAATGAAGAAAGACTTGGCTTGTGTATGGTTAGCAATTAGAATTCATGGAAGTCAAAGAAAAGGTCGACTCAAAAGACAAGGTCTGCCTTGATACCAGCTTCCTATATGAAAACAACGGTCAGAACATTCCACACAGGCAAGTTAGTGTGGGATACTGTACTAGCTGACATTACATCCCACACAGGCACCACATTAGTCAGCATGGGATTCTGTACTAATTTACTTAACATACCATGCAGGCAAGATAGTTAGCATAGGATGCTGTACTAGTTGGCATTATGTGCCTAACATAAAATATTCTTGTATTTATTTTCATTATTAGGATTGTAGCCATTTGTTAGTTTTATTTTTAAACATTGACAATTTTGTATATGTTGCATTAGAAATTAGGAAAGATCCATTATATATTCTATTTGTATTATTTAATATAAGCTGAACATGTAACCTAAAATAGTGTTTGTGTACTTAACAAAGGGACAACTTCAGAAAAAGAAGCAAAGATAGTAATGAATGATAATATTAACAATGTATACAGGTATTGAACTAGTTAACCTGAGTCATATATACAAATTATGAAAAGACATCCTCTTTATATCTCTCATGTGGGACTGAAACCAACTGATCATATGTCTTGAATGATGTATATAATTTATTGATTTTTTGTAATAATTGTTGCATTCGTGTAGATGTCGAGGAGTAAAAAAGTATTCATTACCTTACAGGTGTTTGTGGGTGGCGTCGGCTTCTATGATGTGAGCAGTTCACATAAACAATGGCTTCATAAGGTATAGCGAGTCTTTACAAGTGGAACAGTCACTCCAAAAATGTGGCATTAAACTCGGTGGTCAGTAGGTGGCCACACCAGAAGTTTTGCTCAGCTACTGTGTCTAGTTCAGATCCATCAAGGTAAATAGTGTAACAAATGGGGGTCTGTGAATGTAACAATTAGGGCTAGTGCTCCCAGATGCAATGAATGCCTTGGGCTATAAAGTGCAACACTAGATAGGGACATGATCTATTAAATTTAGAATTAAAAGCGACTTGCGAGTATTCTTATTATCCAGCACTCGCTCAAAATCCAATGGAAAGGTAATTGTTCTTCCCGCACCTTCAGAACAATATTCAGGTAGTATCCTCATCTGGACAGCTTCTTTATGTATGATATGTTTGCTCCAGCAAACAGACACCATTTAAAAAAAAAAATCATAGGCAACATTCCCGGGTGTGAAAGCCTCTGTACTGAGTGAACAACCAAGGCTGGCACCGCAGCATGAGCTAACAGTACTGCTGTTAGCTCATTTATTTAGTGATGATAGTACTACAGACGAGTCTGACTGTGTACAATGTTCAGATAATAGTGAACACATTGCTGTTAAAGATGTTCACAGCGCTAGCTACAGCACACTGCCATTGTTTGGGCATCTAAGAATCTTGAAATGACTAGTCATGTACCTTTACAAAATAAACTTATACATATCAATAATCTTTTTGATCTGGCCCTCCAGTATTTTCCACGTGTATATTGTTTGATCTCTCATCTCCTTTCTGATGAGTATATTTGGAGAGCTTTGAGATGATCCCAATAATTTAGGTACTTTATCACGTCTATGTATGCCGTATATGTTCTCTGTACTCCCTCTATTTCAGCAATTTATCCTGCTCTGAAGGGGAAAGTGAGTATTGAGTAGTACTCAAGATGGGACAACACAAGTGATTTGAATAATACAACCATTGTGATGGGTTGATGAGGGTTCCTTGATGTTGATGAGCCTTGATGAGGGTTTGAACCTATGCGCAGTGTTCCCAGATGTGCTCTAATCAACTGTACCATGACATGGTAAAAGAATTGTAACCTGGAGTGCTACTGCACCACAAGAGTAGGGCGTGTCTGGGAACACTCTGGGAACACAATTCCTGCATTAAGTTCGAACCCTCATCAAGGCTCCTGTGGATTTGTTCCTTGATATATCACGTTAATGTGATTCTTCTCTCTACTGTAGTAGGAGCATCAGAGGTAGTACTACTGGTTGACAGAGCCCGAGTGCATGGGGGAATTGTGTGAAACCCCGGTTAGGCTTCAGTGGAAGCCTCGGAACCCTCATGGGTGCATTAGCACTCCAGGTTGCAATACTTTTACCGTGTCATGGTACAGTTGACTAGAGCACATTTGGGAACACCCAGTGCATAGGGTCGAACCCTCATCACGGCTCCTGTGGATTTGTTCTATCACGTTAATGTAATTTCTCTGTGTATTGAAGATACTTAACACTTTCGCGCACCCCCCGCGCCACCCCTCGACAGGGCGATATGGGCCCCAGCGTGTCACGGAAGGACGCGTCAATTCCGAAAAGTGTATACTCTCTTCAACTTTGTCACCTCAATTTTTGTTCTACGAGATTAAATTTGGTATCATTGTGTTCGCAATAAAATTCTCTACAGCACTAAATGCATATAAACTCCAAAAGCCCGGCTAATTACCCGCAGCAAGCAGAGAAAGTGCGAACGAGTTACCCGGGAGCGCGCAAACGTGATAAAATGTTTTCACTATTTTCACTCTGGTCACCTCAATTTTCGTTCTAGGTCTTTCATTTTGGTCTCAATGGATTCTTAATAGAATTCTCTAGAGGAATATTAGCATATAAAATAAAAAACCTGGTCACGCTCCAACCGCCGACGAGTTGAAGACGGGCCATGCGTTAGCCATGAGTGAGTGCTCAGACGCCTTCCTGCTACACTCCCAATTCCTGCCCACATATGTTTAGTATTATTTCCTGGTGGTAATCTCAATTTTCGTGTTACAGCGCTCATTTAGGTATGAAAATGTTCCTAATAGAATTCTTCAGATGGATATGTGCATATAAGGGCCAATTGAAGAACAACATTGCCTGTACAATACGGGAAACGGGCAAATACCCATCAAGATCGTCAGTCCCATATATCTAGCAATTTCCTTCACTGTCACTGGTTGCCATCTGTGCTTTGTACTTTGCCCAGTACCTGCCTTATTTTGGGAAGTATATAAATTTGTTTCATAGGCAATATATTTCAGCAATTTTTGTGTCAGAAAGAGTTGAATGAATCCAAGAACAGTGGTAGGTACAGGAACAGTCAAGCCTGGTGTACCTGTAAAATTGTCCACAAAGGGTGCAGTATTGTCACTACACCATCCATCATCAGAATCTGTTGGTGCTGGGGTACGTGTGGTACGTGTGGTATGTCTGGCTCTAGCACGAGCTCCAGTACCGCACCGTGCACGAGTGGCAATCTCGACCTCAGACTCCTCACTGTCCTCACTTTCATCACTCAAAATCCTCATCGGCCGTCTCTGTTTCTAAATGTTCACTACTTGCATCAGTATCAATACCAACATCAGTTTCATCACTAGATGACCCAGACAAATCGTCAAATACAGCCTGAAACTTAGAGGGAGTTAGTCTCACATGCTTGTACTTCTGTACACTACTCAGCTTCTGTTTTTCACGCCTTTCTTTCGCAATTTTCTTCCTGGAAGGGCCTTGTTCATGATTACTATCCATCGTGGAGTAAGCGTAGATAGTTTCTGAAGCCGCAGTAAGAAGTATAGCCATGGAAAATAGCCAAAATGTTCACACATTTGAGACGCGAGGGGAGGCGACACCGGTCACAACAGTGGAGCGAAAACAATGGGCCGACGGCGTGTGCTGCGCCGCCTGCGGGCCACTAGGCGCAACAAAGAAAATGGGAAGACATCGGCGCGCATTTTAAAACCAGTCCCCCAAAAATCGGATAAAAACCTGATTTTTGGCGAATTTTTAAAGTGGATGACGCAATGCTGCGTCATCCCCGGCATTACCGCCAGTAAACGGATGACGCAATGCTGCGTCATCCCCGAGCGAAAGTGTTAAATATAATGTGTGTATGTAGTGTAATAACAGCACAAACAGTAAATGAACAAATCCACAAAGGCCGTGATGAGGGTTCGAACATACGTCCGAGAGCATCCCAAATGCTGGCTTAATCGACTGAGCTACGACATGGTTAAAAAAATTGCAACCAGAAGTTCTACTGACCTTACTTGGACCCTGCAGCCTCTCCGAGACACAAACCAGGATTTTATGCAATTCTCGCAATTACTCAAAGAGGTTGCAGGGTACCGCCTGCTTATGGTCATCCCCTTGTGTACAAGGATTCCGCTAAGCTTTTGGGGTTAATCTTTGACAATCATTTGTTTTGGTCGGCCCACATATCTTATCTCCATGCTGAATGCTCCAAGATACTTTCCCTCCTTAAGGTTTTGTTCCATTCTTCTTGGGGGTCGGATAGGCGCACACTTCTCTCTTTACATTCCTCTCTCATCCTGTCTAAACTCGATTATGGTTGCCCTGCTTATTCATCTGCTTCTCCTTCTACTCTTTGGTGTATTGATGCTTTGCACCATGCTGGGTTGCACCTCAGCTCTGGTGCCTATTGTTCGACTCCCTCCCTCAGCTTGTATGTTGACACTGGCTTCCTATCTCTCCAGGACCACCGTGTTCGCTTCTGTCTTCGCTATCTGGCGCGTTCATTGCAACATCCTTCCTCTCGCCTTTGTCGTGCTTTGACTTTTACCACTCCTGTAGTTCCTGTTCCTCTTCACCACCTCCCTCTTTCTGTACGGCTACCTCGCTTACAGGACACTCTTTCAGTTCGTCTTTCTCATATTTTCCTCATATTGTTCCTTTCTTGCCCCCATGGAGGGTCCCCCTTCCGAAATTTTGTACATCCTTGACCCGCATTACTAAAGCTTTTACCCCTCCAACGGTTCTGAAACACCTTTTCCTCGAGCACTTTTCTTCACACTCCCACTCCGTTTCCATCTTCACCGATGGGTCTAAGTCTGCGGATGGTGTGGGCTACTCTGTTGTTTTTCCTGACCGCACTTATATGTGTCGCCTCCCTTCAGAGACTAGCATCTTCACTGCGGAACTTTATGCTATTCTCTATGCTCTGTCTCCTGCTTTCTCATTGTCAAAGCTCCTTTGTGGTTGTCGTTGACTCTCGTAGTGCCCTCATGGCTCTCTGGTCCTTTAATCCTGTCCATCCAGTAGTCGTTGAGATTCAACATTGGCTGTTTCTTATCTCTAGTAAATTTAAATCCGTAGAGTTTTGCTGGGTTCCCAGCCATATTAGTGTTTCTTTAAATGAGCGTGCAGATGTTGCCGCTAGAGAGGCTATCCGCTCTTGTCCTGTTTCCCGTAAAGGCATTCCTTATTCTGACTTTTATCCGGTTATTCATTTCTCCATCTTTGCCCATTGGCAGGGTTGTTAGTCTTCTGTTGTTGGTAATAAACTGCGTACTCTTAAGCGTAGTGTGTCCTCGTGGCCTTCCTCCTGCCACCGTAACCGGCGGTGGGAAACAGCTCTAGCAAGGCTGCATATTGGCCATACTCGCTTAACTCACTGTCACTTAATGGAGCGCTGCCCTGCTCCATATTGTCCAAATTGCATTGTCCCTCTTACAGTCGTGCATATCCTTGTTGAATGTCCTGACTTCCAGGACGAGCATGTGTCTTGCTTTCCAACCGTCCCTCGCGGCCCCTTGTCCCTCGATAGCATTCTTGATGAATCAGATACTTTTGATATCGTTCGCCTTGTGCGTTTCTGTTCTTATATTGGCATCCTTGGTTATATTTAGCGCCTTCTGATTATTCCCCACATTTGATGGTGCTACATAGCCTTCCTGGTTTGGTGCTTTCTTTTGATACTTACTTACCTCTGCTCTCACACTACCCTGTGTGGTGGTAGACCTAAGCCTTTATACTCAAGTATTTTCAGCACCATTTATTTCTTGTTCTCTAACGTAACGTTAACTTGTCCGTTTGTTTTTTATATTTTGCACCCTGTAAGTAAGCCAAGTCTTTGAGGCACTATTTTTATTCTTGTTATTTGTTAAAGTTAATCTTTTCATATTAAAAGTGTTATTAATTTATTTAAATTTTTTAATTTCCTATACTTTATTCTGCATTTACCACACCGTGAAGAAGTCAACATAGCAGTTTTATTTTAATTTGTTTTACTTTTTTTTTGTTTATATGTTCATTGCATTCCATCTGCCCTAAGCCACTGCTCTGTTATTTTTCCGTAACAATAGCTGAAGAAAATATTTGTTTTATGAACATAATAATTGAATCGCTAATGGGCACACCATACTTTTGAGCATAGCAATGGTTCACACATTTTATTATATAAATATATCACACTACACACTATTGAATAATATTACTGCAAAAACCCAGAGAAAAAATCAGACATTGAAATGATTAGTGAATAATATTGTGGCAACTCCCACCTGACGTCTCGGGTGGAGCAGACCGCCACGGAACGCGTATGCTGTTGGCGCCTGAATCCAGATTTCCTCGCCCTATTGCGGCCAAAATATGTCGCCTACTATTTTTCTTATAATTTTTCCTGTGATCAGGGAACACGTTTTAACAATAGTGGATTTTTTTTCTTGTGCACAGT